TACTAGGGGCTTTTGGCCTTACTACTAGGAGCAAAAGGACGCTACTAACATATCTTTGCTTTTGGACCTTTCTTTTTGGTTCAATGCCTCTTGGTTTATGATCTTGGAGGCCAAAGAGTGCCGCAGTGAGGAGGGTCCTGGCCTTACAAGCATACTGCAACGTCGGAGAACGACTCTACTCAGACCATTCCCTTCTTTGCGTATTTTTAGTGTTTTCTTCTGTTAGAAACTCAGACATGTTTCCTTTCTTTTGTTCTTTCCTTTGTTATTTCAAAATCCCTAGCAGTTACTTCCTAGGAACTGATTCGGTCTGTACGCTGTACGCGTTGATGCGGTCTGCTACACCGTAGTTGCCGCGCCAGTACGGTGTGTTGGGAGAAGAGCAAGTTCGACTGAGTAATGCGCGAGGATGAACCAACAGTGAGAAGAACCAAAGCATCGTCCGACGAATGCATTGCAAGGGAGACAATGCTCCAAGTACTGGCATGTTCTTGAAGCCCATCGCTAGTAGGTGAGAACTCATCGCTAGTAGGTTGGAGGCCATCGCTAGTAGGTTGGAGGCCATCCCTACCTAGTAGGCTGGATGCCCTAGTAGGGTGGAGGCCATCGCTATGAAAGGCTCCCTTGAATGGATTTTAACATCCATTACCTGATTATTCTTTACATCCATGACTAGCCTAAGGCAGACCCAGAGCTCCGCACCTCCCACAGCTCCCCCTTTTCACTTCGTGAGTTTCTTCAAATGACACGAAACAAGACTCGTGAGTCGTCGTGATGCTTGTAATGACTGTTAGGTCTTAGGCTTAGGTCTTTGCTCCTAGTAGCTTCTTGTTCCTAGTAGCGATGCCAGGAGCCCCGTTCGTAGCTTCTTAGGTCTTAGGCTTTCTTCATTTTTCCGACTTTTTCCGACAAGAAGCTACTAGAAACAAGTGCCTTACTAGTAGTAACAAGAAGCTACTAGGAACAAGTGCCTTACTAGTAGTAACAAGAAGCTGTGTTTTCTTCCGCCGCCGCTAAGGACCGGCACTGCCCGGACATGCCCGCGCCTTTGACCCCCACGAGGTCAACTCAGGCGCGTGAGCTCCCACCGTCCTAGCGATGGCCTTCAACCTAACAGCGATGGCCTCCAACGTAAGAGCAATGGCCTCCAACAACCTCCAGCGTTTGCATTTTTAGTTTTTGACTCGTTCTCTTTTTTTAGGCGGTTCGGAAGGTTCGTGTGCTTGTTCGCACCCGTTCGATGTGTCCCTGCATCGGGATGGGCGTTTTGGACCATTCAACCATTGTTTTCGTTTGCCATTTCAACCTTCAAGCAATCACTTATCACTTATGCTTCTGCAATCTCTACGAGGCTCCAAAGGCCAAGGCCAAAGCCAAGACAAAGGCAAAGATCAAACCAATGCTGCCCAAAGAGGCCATTGATTCTCTTTAACAAAGCTATTGATTCATTCGAGATTGGTGAATTTGATGCTTCCAAAGGTCAAAGAAGATGCAAAGCTGGCTGTTCCGAATCTGGAACTCTCTCATGGTATTATGTGGAGCAGTGAAGGCGCATTGAATTGGAACCCTCGCAGAATGCCTTTTTCGCAGCTTCGCTGCAGGGGAGGAGATCCCTCTTCAGAGTCTTGGCGTGCAAGAATGCTTTCAGACAGGGCTCAAAATTACCAATAACAAGGGCATTATTACCAGCAACAAGATCCACTCAAGACTACCCAATACTTCTCAGGATTCTTGCTGCTGCTTGTTTCTATGTTTGAGGCGCCGGGATGAGGTAGCAGAGCTTCTCCAGGACTGCTTTGAGATAAACTATCTAAGGGACTGCTCAATCCATATATATATATCAATGGTTTGTCACTTTGATGATGCAAGAAATGCATATGATTTTTCATTGCACTGTTTACATCGCATATGTAGTGCTTTGTTCAACTGCCAAAAACCTAGGGGCAGTTGAGCAAAACAGGTTATCTTTCAGGAGCTTCATAACTCTGTGGCGAATCCTCTTTGCAAGCACTTCCGTATCAGGCAGAACGCACGCAACGCTCTTTGACTTGCTATTGTTCAGTTGTTGACCTTTGACGCAGGTATGACTATTTGTTGGAGCATCTTGGATCTGAAGGGGAAATCGTTCTGAAGCTTCTTGTAGCTGCAGACTTGTGTGGACGACTTTATTACCTTGCCTTCAGAAGGAAAAGGCCTGAACACACACACACACACACTAAAAGCATGTCCCGAAACCAAAAAGTGTCTTTAAAACAGAAAGAACGGTTTAGAAAGAAGGTACCCCCTTTTTGGAACTATCACGGGAAGAGACCAAAACATGCATATCAAAAAGCATTTTCAATCATACATCAATAGCCAAATGCCTGCCTGGCCTATCCATTTATTTGAATCAATCCGCATCAAAGTGTACAACTCCCTTATGTGCTTACAAACACATTTGTTTGCTTATTATAAGCAACCTGATAGAAACCAAGCAAGACTTACACCTAAAGGGAACAGAAACCAGGTTCAAAACCAATGAAGCCTTCCGACACCTTCAAAGCAGGCCAAACCAATCAAACAAAATCAAGCCAAAACACTGCGACCTTGCACAAAACCTCGAAGCGGCACCTTAAAAAAGAGTGCCAAAGTTTTCAGGTCCATCCATTGACTTTTTGATTGATTGATTGATTGATTGATTGATTGATTGATTGATTGATTGATCCCCAGATAGCGTGAGCTATTGGGGTTCTTGCTTCAAGTATAGGAAGAGCTGCGTGTGTGCGTTTTCGAGCTTGGGTGCTGGTGCCGCTGCTGTATGTGCTTGCAAGCTGAGCCACTGCAGGGTGCTCGCTGCTGTGTGCGCAAAGAGATACAGTCAACAATGAAAAAGGGCAAACAAGAAGAAATAATGTCAAAAACATTGTCCTAGAAAAGAACCAGTTTCAATAAAAAACATGTTTAAAGGATCTAAAACAGATCAAAGCAAAGAACAAGTCAAATGAACATCTAGCAAAAAAGACAGAGCAATCTTAATGAAAGGGTTTGAAAGAAAAAAGGGTAGTGACAGGTAGGTTAAAAAGAAACACAGCATGCAAAGAAAGACATCTCCAAAGAAAACACATATAAAAAACAGAGAGGCTAAACAAGGGCAAGGTCAAAATAGAAGAAAATCGTCTAAAGCAAAAGAAAGAACGAGGCCTTAAATGGATTGCCATTTTTCGCAGCTCTGCCAAGTGAATCGCAAGGCAGCATTGCCAAGAGCGGAAAGCTGGCGTGGCACGGCGGGCGCCGAAAGTCCTTTTCAACGAGGAACGTGCCCTGGCCGCAAGGCCAAGCTTGAAGGCCAAACAGATGAAGAAAGAAAGGAAGGATCTTTCTCTACGCTTTTCACGTTAAAAGGAAACATGAAAAAGAAAGAAAACAAAAGAAACAGCTTCTCTCGCAGACAAGAATGCCTTGGACAGCTTCGGAATGCCGACGTCCGATGCACCGATGCACCTCGCTTCCGCTTCCTTCTGACAGGTTACCTTACCACAGTACGTTTGCGGGTCCGAAAGCATCCGGCCAAAGGTGACCCGCAAAAGGCCGGAGATCATGCCAGGGCAAAGCCCGCTAGTAGTAACAAGTGCCACGCTAGTAGTAACAGGTGCCTTACTAGTAGTAACAAGTGCCACGCTAGTAGTAACAAGTGCCTTACTAGTAGTAACAAGGTTTGCTATTAGAAACAAGAAGCTAGTAGTAACAAGTGCCATAAGCCCTGGTGATGGTGGGTTGGAGGCCATCGCTAGGTTGATTTTCTCGATGCAGGAAATGATTGGAAGGGGTACTATGATGGCAGTGCTCTTGCATGAGCTCGCCCACCTGCGCTACATGAATCACGGCAAGGATCTTAGCCACTTGAAAGCAGCATGCTTTGGCTGTTGTCCCTTCGGCTGAGGACAAGAGTTTATGCTCTTCCTGAGAGCATCTTGAAGCGCATACAGCTTTTATGCGGATGTCCTTCATTTCCTAGAGAAAACCGTCGGAAAGAAACAGGAAGGAAGCAAAGAAAGGTCTGAAAATCCAGAGAAGACAAAACGACTATCTATTAATTGTGCATTGCATTGTTTATTGAGTAGAAACATGAATAAGCCTCCAATTCTGAGAAGCCAACAGTGACTCTGTTGCGAGACCTCAAGGAGATCTTTGCAGAGGCTCATCGACGAGGTTTGTTCAACCCAGATTTGGTAAATGATCCTTGGCAGCAAGGGATCCTTTGTTTTCTTTTTTGGTGGTTGGTCTGACATCACCGAGAAAAACCTGAGTCTGAAGAGCAAGTCTCATGGAGTTGTATGAGATTGCAGGAGCTGCCATCATGCCGACCGTGGGAAAACCTCATCTACCAGACTGGCGCGGTAGCCTGGAAGTGCCAAGCATCAAAACGAGACAGAGTGCTTCCAAGCATGATGGGCAGCTGACTGAAGAGGAAACATTTTGGTTGTCTTTCATTTCTTCAATAATCATTCTGCAATGTGTTCCTTCTTTCTGAAGACATTTTTCAGACAAACCCTGGGACTCCTTTCTCGGGTGAGAAAGCGTTTCTTCGGGGTGCAGGTGGTGGTATTGATGATCAGAGCCTGATGGCAGTCTTTGTGCCGGATTCCAGTACTTGTGCAACCCCACGGAGTGCGGGCGCGTGTCTTGGGGCGCCTGCGGGGCGTTCTGTCCTTCACACGAAACGACCGAGACAAATGGTTCGTCAGAGGAACTTGATTGGATGCGTTGCATGTCTTCAGAGTGGTCTGAAGAATCAATGGGTGGACCGAACGCCACCGTTCGCTTTTTAGTGGAACGGGTGAATGAAGCATTTCAGTGGGTGAATTCAGGCGACCAATGCAGATTCAAACCCGCAAAAAGAGGTGCTCTTATCTAAGGCCAGCAAGGAACTAGGGGCTCCTGGTCATACTACTAGGAGCAAGAAGCTACTAGTAACAAGTGCATCGCTTCTAGTAACAAGTGCCTTACTAGTAGTAACAAGGACGCTACTAGGAACAAGTGCCACGCTAGTAGTAACAGGTGCCTTACTAGTAGTAACAAAGAAGCTACGAACGGGGCTCTCCTGGCCTCGCGAACCGAACGGAGCGATCGGGGCGCTCCAAGCGGCCTCTGGCGAGGAGCTCCACCCCGATCCGAGGGCGACCCACTGACCGACACTCAGGGGCGACCGACTGACCGGATGTCGAAAGAAGTTAAGGTGGTGCAATAGTAGCTTCTTGTTACTACTAGCGTGGCACCTGTTACTAACAGCTTCTTGTTACTACTAGTAAGCATTATTTATACTAAGAGAGAGCCCCGTTCGTAGCTTCTTGTTCCTAGTAGCGTCCTTGTTACTACTAGTAAGGCACTTGTTACTAGAAGCGATTCACTTGTTACTAGTAGCTTCTTGTTCCTAGCAGGTGGCCTGAAGCAAGTCATTCTTGCAACCTGCTTAGACAGTCTCATAGACATTCCAACCAATCGAACGGTTTGACATTCTTCTCTTTCATCTTCGATGATTCACGAAGGCTCCTGAGAAGCTGGAGAAGGCTTGGAATGAAAGCGGACACTGGCACTCCCGTTCTTTTGCAGTCCGAACTTAGTAGCGATGGCCTTTGCTCCTAGTAGCGTCCTTGCTCCTAGTAGTAAGGCCAGGAGCCCCTAGTAGCTTCTTGCTCCTAGTAGCGATGCCCTTTGCTCCTAGTAGATTCGTGCTCCTATTTGTTGGAGGACAAGGTGGGTGCCATGCTGAATGTTCCGACACACGAGTGCAGACCTCAGATTGTGTGGGCTAAACTGATGAAGCATGGCACATTAAAAACGTGTGTTGGTACGTTAAACTCCTTTTTTCGCAAGGCCAGGTGTCATGTGAAGACATGGGGAGGAAATCACAAACAAAATGTCAGAATATATTCTAATTATTAGGTTGGAGGCCATTGTTATTGGGTTGGAGACCATCGCTACAAGGGTGGAGGCCACTACTAGGGTGGAGGCCATCGCTATTAGGTTGGTGGCCATTGCTATTAGGGGGGAGGCCATTGCTAGAAGTTTGAAGGGCATTGCTATTAGGCTGGAGGCCATCGCTATTGGGTTGGTGGCCATTGCTAGTGGGTTGGAGGCTATTGCCAGCAGGTTGGAGGCCATTGCTAGAAGCTTGGAGGGCATTGCTATTAGGTTGGAGGCCCATTGCTAGTAGGCCTAAGAGCGATTATTTTTTCCAATTCTAATTAAATCTAAAGTAAATTGCAATTCCAATTCTATCTATTTCTTGTTTCTACTAGCAAACATTGCTCCTAGTAATAAGGCCAAGAGCCAGGAGCCCCTACTAGCGGCGTTGCTCCTAGTAGCGATGCCCTTTGCGCCTAGTAGCGTCCTTGCTCCTTCGTTTGTTTACTTTCTTTTTCGCAAAGCTCAGCTCCGTAGGCCACGAGCTTCTGATGCTTCGACCACTCCCAGTGGCCTCAGTGGAGACCGCGAGTCCGTGGACACGGAGACCACGACCAAGACGACCGAGACGACCAACGACCGCTTTTTCATGAAAAGAGAAGACCGGGACCAAGAAGGTGGTCTTCTCGAGGCAAGTCGACGTTTCGGGGTGGTCTTCATTGGAAGTCGAACAACTCCACAGATGGGGAGTCGCACCTAGTTTTCTTTTATTGGGGGGGGGCAGTCAAAGGGGCAGTCTTCTTTTACTTATTTTTTCCAGTGCAGTCCCAGGATCTAAAGAAGTCCTTCACAGCCATCACAGACGTAAGAAGTGCACTCACACGTCGATTCCCCTTGGATGGCAAGGCAGAACGAGAGAATGGAAGTCCAAAGGCCAAGCGTCACCGTCGTTCAACCTTCGACGCGAACAGCAAAAACAGTTGTGACGGTGGCAAACCCCGTTGCAGGTGCGGCAAAACCGAGTGTTGCGTCCGAAGAAAGCCTAATGAGGCTTGGCCTTTTTGCTGGAGAGTTCCCTCAAGGGCCAAGCCTCATTGTTGAAATCTGCCCAGGGTGGCCAGAAATTAGCAGATTTTCAGGAAGACTGAAGTCCCTGAAGACTGACTCAAAAGCATTGAAGACTGAGCGATGTACAGAGTGCCTTCTCGATGTGGCTCAAAGAGCCACATCGAGCCAAGTGCTCAAAAAGGTCTGCCCTTGCTACGGCCTTGGACATCCTTAGCGCCCTCAGGTGCCCAGCAGTAAAGCACTTGAGCCTGGCATGGCAAATCTTACCTTCTCCCACTGCATGATGCTTTGTGGAGGCCATTCCTATTCGGTTGGAGGCCCATCGCCATTAGGTTGACCGTAAGTTCATTCCACTTCCTGCCCCGTTGCGACCTGGCTCCTAGTCCACGTCCCGGAGGAAGATGCGGCCCCGAGGCAGGGACAACATGCGACAATGGGTACATGCCGAAAGGAACCGATCTTTGCGATGTCTTCCAACCCTAGTAGCGATGGCCTCCAGACAACATGCAACAATGAGACGGGTGTCGCCGGCTTGACGGTTTCTTCGGAGGAATCTTCTCTTCCCGGTGCAGTGGATGCCCCAACCTGAGCTTGCGCAGTTGAGTCAAACTGGATGGAGACAGCCACCGCAACTGTCGGATCAGGCACGAAAAGTGGACGGTTACACGTCATCCACCTCAAAACCTGTTTGTAGTAAGTGATTGCACGAATCTTAGTGCTAGGAACAAGAAGCTACTAGTAACAAGTGCATGGCTTCTAGTAACAAGTGCCTTACTAGTAGTAACAAGGACGCTACTAGGAACAAGAAGCTACTATGGGCTCTCTCTTAGTAATCCTTATTGCATGGCTGTTGCTCCTAGATCCATCAGTTCCGCACACTGGGTGTTGGTGGGATGAAAGCATCAGAAGCATGTCACCGTCTGTTTATGATCGGTTTGGAGGCCATCGCTAGGGTCAAAGCCCTCGCAAAGATCGGTTCCTTTTGCTCTTAGGTTGGAGGCCATTGCTTCTAGGAGCAAGGACGCTACTTGGGGCTCCTGGCCTTACTACTAGGAACAAGAAGCTACTAGTAGCAAGTGCATCGCTAGTAGTAACAAGTGCCTTACTAGTAGTAACAAGAAGCTACGAACGGAGCAAGGACGGGCATCGCTACGAACCGTTCGCGATCGGACGCGACTCGAACGGTTGGATTGACCGGTGACCCGCCTGAGGAATCAACGACACTGTCCAGTGAAGGACGGTTTCAGCATCCTTTGCGTGTCCCCGGCACGTGGAACGAAACGAAAAGAACAACTCAAACGGGTGGAGTGACATCCTTCTGTTGGTATCGCTTCCTCCCAGACACTTGGAAAAAAAGCGGCTTTTGAGGATCCTTTTTGACCCATTTGGCTTTCTTTCCAAGCTCCTCGAGCCCTGAACATGCTCCTTTCCGAGCCACCAAAGAGCGTCGTTCTGAGGCGGTGGATGAAGACTGCACCTGTGCGAATTCGTCCCACCTCCGGGAGCTCGTCCGACACCGAGGGAGCCCGAGCTGAAGCATGCCGAAGAACGAACGAATACCCAAAGATGTCTAACAAAGACCTGAAGTTTTTCTAAAGACTTCTAACACAATTCGGTCTAAAAGTTGGAAACGACATTCGGAAGGAAACAAACATACTGAACCAAAACAGGCCACAACATCCCAAGACTAGCGTGCTGCAGTAGCATGCTCCCTTAGCATAGCATCACAGCGTAAAAAACAATCTTTTACCACTATTACATACTATTACGGAAAAGAAACAGAACATTAACAATAAGCTACTAGGAACAAGTGCATCGCTACTAGTAACAAGTGCCTTACTAGTAGTAACAAGAAGCTATTAATAATTCTTTGAAGTTCTTCCTTTCTTTTAGAACTGGGCTCCCGGACGCGACTCGAACGGGGCTGGGCCGTACAGGTGAATGTCACTGTGGACGGGTTGGCTTGCTATGCATGTGAGCCGCGCAGACCGCCTGCTTGTACAGAGGTGCGGGTGAACCGGTGGGGAGGACAATAGGCTCGCTTGATGCTACGAACGAGGGGCTTGATGCTCACAATGGCCTCCAACCTGAATTGCGATGGCCTCCCAAAAAAAGACAAGGAAAGGAGAAAGACCTTTTGCCTCGGACCGCAAAAGACAAGTTGCTTCAGACCTTTTCAACTTTTCCGCGAAGGGTTCTTGGTAAAGAACTTCTGTCAACTGTATCTGCCTTTTCCTCCTCCTCCTCTGCCTCCTCCTCATCAACATGAACCTCAAGACATCATCATCATCATCATCATAATCACATTTTGGACATGGATTCCTTTATATTTATAATCATCTTCTTGCTGCAGTGCTCTCAAGTGCTCTCAGGCCACCCTGTCGTCGGTCAAAACTTTTCAAACGCAGCGACACGTGCAGCGACACGCCCCGTGACTTGGCCATTCTTTCGGTCAGTTCTGCAGTGCGTGGCAAACCTCAAGGGCCTAAAGCTCCGTCTCTTTGCTTCTTTGCGCCGTTCGTAGCGATGCCCTTTGCTCCTAGTAGCTTCTTGCTC